ACAGCAGTTGAGAATTTTCCTTTTTTTGGTCATTGACCCTTCACCCTGCCCCATCCCCTTCCTCCTCCCCCCCCCGAAACCCTCTCCCCCCCAACCAAACAAAAAACAACCCTCAGGCTTCCAAAGCTGAAACTTCATCTTAGGTTTGCAATTAACTTTACGATGTGACCGTGCATATAAACTAAGCCTTGAATGAAAACTCTTCCCATTTAAAGTAACGGTAAGCAAAGAGTGAGTGTTTGAATTGAGACAACTATCCTGCAGAACAGCATTACCATTTAAAAAATTATCTTTTCCGTAGACCATTTGCCAACGATTTTGGCTTAACTGGATTAAAGTAGAAATCTAAGAAAGGAGACCCATCCAGTCACTGAAAAAAAAATGGAGGATACAGACACTGTCCCAAACACTTCCAACAATGTAACAAAATTTACTGACAGAAAATCTGAAGACCAAAGACAGATGGCAGAGCAGAAGACATGAAATGGCCTTAAGTCACCGGTCACCTTATCTGCTGAAGATAAGGTTCATCCTATAGTGTTTATTAAATGTTTGCAAAGACTTCCAAGGGGATATTCTGCACAGCTGCACTGACACTATGGCTACACTACAGTTTAAGTCGACATAAGTTGTGTTGCTCAGTCGTGTGAATTAGTCACCCACCTGAGCGACATAACTTACACAGAGTTAAGCGTCAGTGTGGACAGCACTGTGTCGGCAGGAGACATAGCTACCACCGCTTGCGGGGCCCGGAGTAATTAAGCCAGTGAGAGATCTCTATCCCATCGGCTGAGAGTGGCTACACTAGAGAGCTTAAGCTTAAGCTCTCTAGTGTAGCCGTAGGGAGGATGGTGGGGGCGGGGGAAAGACTTCTCAGTTGAAGAAGCTCCAGATGCTCTTTCTACTATGGTTTTAGTTTAACCAGGCAAGGATCTCCATGAAAAATGACTTCTTGATAGAACAGATTACTCGACAGAATCTTCCAAAGAATTAAATTCAAAAACACAATAAAACACGTCAGTTTCTTAGCTCAGTTAATTTTTTCATACTGGAAAAACTTTATAAATCAATAAAATAATTAATAAACATGTACATAGTGTTTTTTACCCAGAGGTCTCAAAACATCTTACAAGTTGAGTAGGTATTTTACCCCTATTTTATATATAAAACAGTCTTCAGTGAAGTCCTTAAACACAGAGGGTTTTAATTATCTTTAAAAAAAATAAGATGTTCTTATTTACAAAATAGATTTAAAGTCAACTACACTTGCAAGATACCTTGGTTCTGTGTTTTTAATTGCTCGATGACAGAAGAATTATTACAATTGTCAAAGAAACTGTTGTTGAAATCTGTCTTCTTTGATCGTAAGCCACGGTGGCTAGGAGTTGCCTCTTGTTCCCATGGAGAATGGGAAAAGTAAAACTTCTCTTTAAAGGGGTTTCTTGACTGCTGGATGAAGGACAGCTTGGTGTCTTTTCTTGTTACCACGAGAACACCAATGAAGAAGCCTGATGCCGAGCAAGCTCTCTGTGACTCTTAGTACTTTGAGGGTGAGAATGATTTATTTTCTATTTAAAAAGAGGGGGGGAAAGCATATCTACCTTTATACAGCTGACAATTCATAAAAGAGAATTAATTCACTACTGTATGGTGGAAATAAGATAGAGCAATTGGTCAAGCTGTCAGTTACAATTTTTGATAACAGAGTCAGCGACACAGATCATCCATCAACACAAAGTATTATATGATTCACACGAGTCTGCTTTTATACCCCCAGCAGTCAACTGACTGGAATACTTTGCCAATTAACATTACAGGCAGCTGAAGAGCGTTGGGTGAGTACTATCTGTAATTCAAATATATCTAAGCTGGTCAGGATCTTAAG